GATGATCGTCGAAATCTCCAATCGTAATTACCTTCACTAGGGTTGCTTTCCTGCTCGATGTGTTATCAATCGTTACCCTGAAATTGGAACCGAGAGAAACCGAGAAAATTCAACATGAACAACGGAATCCAAGAGAAACCCATCTGACGAAATCCATAAATCTCCAAACTTTCGGGTGAATAATTCAGGAAAAAAAAGGGGGAAGAGAAATCGAGATACTTGGGAGGGTTCATTCTGATGACAAACTTCTCCAACTCATTATCTGAAGAGACAGACGGAGACCAGAAATCCATTGCTTATCCCCCAAATTTCTCCTCACAAAGTACCCAGCAATAATAACCCCATGACCAACTCCAATCAACCACAAACCCCAATTACTTTACAAACACAACCAAATCCAAAGCCTTGGGAAGAGATCTTAGATCTTAGAATGGAAACCCTAAAGAGAAACCCTCAAGAAAATGACTTTGACAAACCCAGGTTATAAAGAAACTTCTCAGACCTTGACTTGAAGAGATTGCTCAACGAGAACTTCCCTGTCTCCTGTTGTGTTCCCGGGGAACCCGAAAAGCCTTCGTCTTTCACCCGAAGAACGGTCCTTCCGATCTGATTTCGCACTGTCTCTATTGTTTGGCTCTTAACCGGCTTCCCAGATGAATCTGTGACGTAGAAAGCATTCACGGCTTGAGAACCCCTCGTTGTCACCTCGGCTCTCGTCACTGACAGACCGTTCTCTCTGAATATACGAGTCACGTCTGAAAGAAGTCCCACTCTGTCTTCCCCGCATAGCTCTAGTCTTATGCCCTGAAAACCACCAAATACCTCTCTCTAGTTATGTCATATATCCATCTCGGTAGGTATGGGTACGGGTTGGATACTCGGAAAAATTGGGATACCAAAATCGAATATCATAATTTGATACCCATATTGGTAATATGATGGTCTTATCCGAATTACGGGTACCCGACAAAATGTTTGGATACTCAAGTACTCGAACAAAAAAAATATGTTGAAAAAAGAATTATAACAAAAAATATATGAAAAACCGAGTACCCAATGTTTGGGTATGGATCCAAGTTTAGAAAAATGAGGAGATTCTTTTCCATCATACCTCTGAAGTTCGTCTCTTTATGGCTGCTTCCAAGCAATGTATCAGCCTCTGTCTCTCGGCTTCCGAACTTACAGGACCACCATCGACATGCCTGATGTAGTACTCCTGTTTATACAACCGAAATCGTTAAGAACTTTTTTCCTGTTATACCCCTTTGAAGAAATCCGAATCTGACGGGTAATATGGGCGAGGGACGTAAGATCGGGAAAAGAACCTGATAGGCCTCTGGACCCTCAGCTATGACAGTGGCGTGATACACCACATATTGCATATCTGTCAATGTACAGACTGCGTCAAAGAAGAGTTTAGGCCGATCAATACACCTCAGGTTAACGACTGTGTAAGCCTTGTCGGTGCAATTCTCCACTGTTATAACGGGTTTCCTCCTTTCACTCGTCGACCCGACATCCAGGTTAGTCATATCGTAGTCACGGTTATCGTACATCATCTGATGGAGTCTCCTTTCCTTGTGGGTCGAACCCATCAAGACAGCAGTATTTGCTATCCTCTTGTCTCGGTTTCCTTCAAGAACGTAGAGCAAGAGCTGCTTGATCTTAGCAATCCGATCAGGATCGTCAATTACAGACCCTGTGGTCTCGTCTGTGATGTAAACAACCGATGCCATTCTTGAGTTGTGAGTCCATACTTCCGCTGCCACGACATTGCAGTTGTTATCGGTCAAGACAGCAAAAACATCCGATAACAAGCCTGGTCTGTCTCTTCCCGTCAATTCGATTGAAGTGTTCTCTGAAATGGCTTGAACCCCAACCGATCTATTCCGAGCCCTGAAGCTACAAGTCCGTGGCCCGAGAGACTGAAACACGAAAAAGAAAATACATAAACTCTCACTGAAGAACAGAACCAACATCGAAATCCAGACTCAAAGAGATGGATCCAAGAAGCAGGAAAACGTTAAGCCCTTGATTTACCTGCTGAATTGTTTCTGCTATGTCCTCCTCCATCACCCTATTTCCATTCTTATCAGTCACATGAAACACTGCAACAACAACAAGCTCGATAGATAAATCGAAACCAGATGGAGTTTCAACAACAACAAACTTGTGTGCATGCAAATCCCATCGATTTGGATCGGTAACGTACCGTCCATGAACCATTCGCCGTCAGAGGAAACGTAAGCTCGACGAATTAAAAGATCCAAATCTGTCAAAACCTGAACTACTTCCAACAAGCTTCCTCTCTTATTTGCACTATCAACCTGTTCCCAGTCCGTAAAAGGTTTCAAACTTGTCAACATCACCAAATCGAAATTACAAACAATCGAAAATAAGGGTTTTCTTTTTCTTTCTCATACGATGATCGTCGAAATCTCCAATCGTAATTACCTTCACTAGGGTTGCTTTCCTGCTCGATGTGTTATCAATCGTTACCCTGAAATTGGAACCGAGAGAAACCGAGAAAATTCAACATGAACAACGGAATCCAAGAGAAACCCATCTGACGAAATCCATAAATCTCCAAACTTTCGGGTGAATAATTCAGGAAAAAAAAGGGGGAAGAGAAATCGAGATACTTGGGAGGGTTCATTCTGATGACAAACTTCTCCAACTCATTATCTGAAGAGACAGACGGAGACCAGAAATCCATTGCTTATCCCCCAAATTTCTCCTCACAAAGTACCCAGCAATAATAACCCCATGACCAACTCCAATCAACCACAAACCCCAATTACTTTACAAACACAACCAAATCCAAAGCCTTGGGAAGAGATCTTAGATCTTAGAATGGAAACCCTAAAGAGAAACCCTCAAGAAAATGACTTTGACAAACCCAGGTTATAAAGAAACTTCTCAGACCTTGACTTGAAGAGATTGCTCAACGAGAACTTCCCTGTCTCCTGTTGTGTTCCCGGGGAACCCGAAAAGCCTTCGTCTTTCACCCGAAGAACGGTCCTTCCGATCTGATTTCGCACTGTCTCTATTGTTTGGCTCTTAACCGGCTTCCCAGATGAATCTGTGACGTAGAAAGCATTCACGGCTTGAGAACCCCTCGTTGTCACCTCGGCTCTCGTCACTGACAGACCGTTCTCTCTGAATATACGAGTCACGTCTGAAAGAAGTCCCACTCTGTCTTCCCCGCATAGCTCTAGTCTTATGCCCTGAAAACCACCAAATACCTCTCTCTAGTTATGTCATATATCCATCTCGGTAGGTATGGGTACGGGTTGGATACTCGGAAAAATTGGGATACCAAAATCGAATATCATAATTTGATACCCATATTGGTAATATGATGGTCTTATCCGAATTACGGGTACCCGACAAAATGTTTGGATACTCAAGTACTCGAACAAAAAAAATATGTTGAAAAAAGAATTATAACAAAAAATATATGAAAAACCGAGTACCCAATGTTTGGGTATGGATCCAAGTTTAGAAAAATGAGGAGATTCTTTTCCATCATACCTCTGAAGTTCGTCTCTTTATGGCTGCTTCCAAGCAATGTATCAGCCTCTGTCTCTCGGCTTCCGAACTTACAGGACCACCATCGACATGCCTGATGTAGTACTCCTGTTTATACAACCGAAATCGTTAAGAACTTTTTTCCTGTTATACCCCTTTGAAGAAATCCGAATCTGACGGGTAATATGGGCGAGGGACGTAAGATCGGGAAAAGAACCTGATAGGCCTCTGGACCCTCAGCTATGACAGTGGCGTGATACACCACATATTGCATATCTGTCAATGTACAGACTGCGTCAAAGAAGAGTTTAGGCCGATCAATACACCTCAGGTTAACGACTGTGTAAGCCTTGTCGGTGCAATTCTCCACTGTTATAACGGGTTTCCTCCTTTCACTCGTCGACCCGACATCCAGGTTAGTCATATCGTAGTCACGGTTATCGTACATCATCTGATGGAGTCTCCTTTCCTTGTGGGTCGAACCCATCAAGACAGCAGTATTTGCTATCCTCTTGTCTCGGTTTCCTTCAAGAACGTAGAGCAAGAGCTGCTTGATCTTAGCAATCCGATCAGGATCGTCAATTACAGACCCTGTGGTCTCGTCTGTGATGTAAACAACCGATGCCATTCTTGAGTTGTGAGTCCATACTTCCGCTGCCACGACATTGCAGTTGTTATCGGTCAAGACAGCAAAAACATCCGATAACAAGCCTGGTCTGTCTCTTCCCGTCAATTCGATTGAAGTGTTCTCTGAAATGGCTTGAACCCCAACCGATCTATTCCGAGCCCTGAAGCTACAAGTCCGTGGCCCGAGAGACTGAAACACGAAAAAGAAAATACATAAACTCTCACTGAAGAACAGAACCAACATCGAAATCCAGACTCAAAGAGATGGATCCAAGAAGCAGGAAAACGTTAAGCCCTTGATTTACCTGCTGAATTGTTTCTGCTATGTCCTCCTCCATCACCCTATTTCCATTCTTATCAGTCACATGAAACACTGCAACAACAACAAGCTCGATAGATAAATCGAAACCAGATGGAGTTTCAACAACAACAAACTTGTGTGCATGCAAATCCCATCGATTTGGATCGGTAACGTACCGTCCATGAACCATTCGCCGTCAGAGGAAACGTAAGCTCGACGAATTAAAAGATCCAAATCTGTCAAAACCTGAACTACTTCCAACAAGCTTCCTCTCTTATTTGCACTATCAACCTGTTCCCAGTCCGTAAAAGGTTTCAAACTTGTCAACATCACCAAATCGAAATTACAAACAATCGAAAATAAGGGTTTTCTTTTTCTTTCTCATACGATGATCGTCGAAATCTCCAATCGTAATTACCTTCACTAGGGTTGCTTTCCTGCTCGATGTGTTATCAATCGTTACCCTGAAATTGGAACCGAGAGAAACCGAGAAAATTCAACATGAACAACGGAATCCAAGAGAAACCCATCTGACGAAATCCATAAATCTCCAAACTTTCGGGTGAATAATTCAGGAAAAAAAAGGGGGAAGAGAAATCGAGATACTTGGGAGGGTTCATTCTGATGACAAACTTCTCCAACTCATTATCTGAAGAGACAGACGGAGACCAGAAATCCATTGCTTATCCCCCAAATTTCTCCTCACAAAGTACCCAGCAATAATAACCCCATGACCAACTCCAATCAACCACAAACCCCAATTACTTTACAAACACAACCAAATCCAAAGCCTTGGGAAGAGATCTTAGATCTTAGAATGGAAACCCTAAAGAGAAACCCTCAAGAAAATGACTTTGACAAACCCAGGTTATAAAGAAACTTCTCAGACCTTGACTTGAAGAGATTGCTCAACGAGAACTTCCCTGTCTCCTGTTGTGTTCCCGGGGAACCCGAAAAGCCTTCGTCTTTCACCCGAAGAACGGTCCTTCCGATCTGATTTCGCACTGTCTCTATTGTTTGGCTCTTAACCGGCTTCCCAGATGAATCTGTGACGTAGAAAGCATTCACGGCTTGAGAACCCCTCGTTGTCACCTCGGCTCTCGTCACTGACAGACCGTTCTCTCTGAATATACGAGTCACGTCTGAAAGAAGTCCCACTCTGTCTTCCCCGCATAGCTCTAGTCTTATGCCCTGAAAACCACCAAATACCTCTCTCTAGTTATGTCATATATCCATCTCGGTAGGTATGGGTACGGGTTGGATACTCGGAAAAATTGGGATACCAAAATCGAATATCATAATTTGATACCCATATTGGTAATATGATGGTCTTATCCGAATTACGGGTACCCGACAAAATGTTTGGATACTCAAGTACTCGAACAAAAAAAATATGTTGAAAAAAGAATTATAACAAAAAATATATGAAAAACCGAGTACCCAATGTTTGGGTATGGATCCAAGTTTAGAAAAATGAGGAGATTCTTTTCCATCATACCTCTGAAGTTCGTCTCTTTATGGCTGCTTCCAAGCAATGTATCAGCCTCTGTCTCTCGGCTTCCGAACTTACAGGACCACCATCGACATGCCTGATGTAGTACTCCTGTTTATACAACCGAAATCGTTAAGAACTTTTTTCCTGTTATACCCCTTTGAAGAAATCCGAATCTGACGGGTAATATGGGCGAGGGACGTAAGATCGGGAAAAGAACCTGATAGGCCTCTGGACCCTCAGCTATGACAGTGGCGTGATACACCACATATTGCATATCTGTCAATGTACAGACTGCGTCAAAGAAGAGTTTAGGCCGATCAATACACCTCAGGTTAACGACTGTGTAAGCCTTGTCGGTGCAATTCTCCACTGTTATAACGGGTTTCCTCCTTTCACTCGTCGACCCGACATCCAGGTTAGTCATATCGTAGTCACGGTTATCGTACATCATCTGATGGAGTCTCCTTTCCTTGTGGGTCGAACCCATCAAGACAGCAGTATTTGCTATCCTCTTGTCTCGGTTTCCTTCAAGAACGTAGAGCAAGAGCTGCTTGATCTTAGCAATCCGATCAGGATCGTCAATTACAGACCCTGTGGTCTCGTCTGTGATGTAAACAACCGATGCCATTCTTGAGTTGTGAGTCCATACTTCCGCTGCCACGACATTGCAGTTGTTATCGGTCAAGACAGCAAAAACATCCGATAACAAGCCTGGTCTGTCTCTTCCCGTCAATTCGATTGAAGTGTTCTCTGAAATGGCTTGAACCCCAACCGATCTATTCCGAGCCCTGAAGCTACAAGTCCGTGGCCCGAGAGACTGAAACACGAAAAAGAAAATACATAAACTCTCACTGAAGAACAGAACCAACATCGAAATCCAGACTCAAAGAGATGGATCCAAGAAGCAGGAAAACGTTAAGCCCTTGATTTACCTGCTGAATTGTTTCTGCTATGTCCTCCTCCATCACCCTATTTCCATTCTTATCAGTCACATGAAACACTGCAACAACAACAAGCTCGATAGATAAATCGAAACCAGATGGAGTTTCAACAACAACAAACTTGTGTGCATGCAAATCCCATCGATTTGGATCGGTAACGTACCGTCCATGAACCATTCGCCGTCAGAGGAAACGTAAGCTCGACGAATTAAAAGATCCAAATCTGTCAAAACCTGAACTACTTCCAACAAGCTTCCTCTCTTATTTGCACTATCAACCTGTTCCCAGTCCGTAAAAGGTTTCAAACTTGTCAACATCACCAAATCGAAATTACAAACAATCGAAAATAAGGGTTTTCTTTTTCTTTCTCATACGATGATCGTCGAAATCTCCAATCGTAATTACCTTCACTAGGGTTGCTTTCCTGCTCGATGTGTTATCAATCGTTACCCTGAAATTGGAACCGAGAGAAACCGAGAAAATTCAACATGAACAACGGAATCCAAGAGAAACCCATCTGACGAAATCCATAAATCTCCAAACTTTCGGGTGAATAATTCAGGAAAAAAAAGGGGGAAGAGAAATCGAGATACTTGGGAGGGTTCATTCTGATGACAAACTTCTCCAACTCATTATCTGAAGAGACAGACGGAGACCAGAAATCCATTGCTTATCCCCCAAATTTCTCCTCTGTTCTTCTGGATTTTCCCAGGATTCCCGGGGCTGTTTTGTGAATATGCGAGAAATCAACGACCTTATGATTTAGAAAACGGGGTCTGAGTTAGGTGGTTTTCCGGTGAGTGGTGGTCTCTCTCTCTCTCTCAAAGGCTTTAATTTTTTTTTTGTTGGGTCAACACTAAACACTTTTGCTGATTATATACTTACGCCACTCTCCACTAGCCCAAAAATCGAATCAAATATTCCAACGTTTTTTTTTTTTGAATACGGCTGTATTTTTCCCCAATTTATTTAAGAATTCAAACTTCGTTTTTATTTTCTTTCTAAAAGTTGAACTGATTTTTTTAGCAAACAATTGAATTTCCCACAAAGGCAAAAGGGTGAAAAAAATATACAGAAACGAAATTAGATACATCGTAAAATTACAAAAATAAAAAATAAAAAATAACGAGGGGTGTATTTATTTATGGGTTATTAATAGCTTTCCAAAACTAGTGGGATCCTGCAAAAGCAAGAGGGTGAAGGCAAATCCTTTTGTCCCACTCTTCTTTGACTCTTTCCAAAGATTTGCCCCTTTTTTATTTAATTTTATGTGGCCCTTGTAGATCTTCTGCAGCTCGCCCCAAGATTCTCCTCTTATTATAAAATTCCAAAAAAAAAAATTAAATTAAATTAATACCTTTGGACCCATAAAAAAAATAGACATGTTAATACCAAGTAGTTTAAATCATAATTAAAATTATAAAATTTTGCTTATAAAAGTCGAGTATTTTCTATAACGTGGAAAGTATTTAGCATGTGTTCCACCGGATTTTTTTTAAAAAAAAGGTTTTTATACACAAAACAAAATAATATTTATTGCTTAAGATCAAAAGCATATTATTTTTTATGTAAAATATATTAAAAACACATAAAAATCTGATTAATTTTTTTTTGCACGACAAAAAAGTGAAAAAAAAAAGTTTATATCAAGGGGACTTGGACGAGATAATATATTTAGATGTTGCAATAGTAATCAAGTGAGTGGATAATATCAATAAATAGCATCATTACAAAATCAGGATTATATTTGGGGGGCGGATGTAGATTATTACTATTGCAACATCTAAATATATTATCTCGTCCAAGTCCCCTTGATATAAACTTTTTTTTTTCACTTTTTTGTCGTGCAAAAAAAAATTAATCAGATTTTTATGTGTTTTTAATATATTTTACATAAAAAATAATATGATTTTGATCTTAAGCAATAAATATTATTTTGTTTTTTTTTAAAATCCGGTGGAACACATGCTAAATACTTTCCACGTTATAGACCTTTTTTTTAAAAAAAATCCGGTGGAACACATGCTAAATACTTTCCACGTTATAGAAAATACTCGACTTTTATAAGCAAAATTTTATAATTTTAATTATGATTTAAACTACTTGGTATTAACATGTCTATTTTTTTTATGGGTCCAAAGGTATTAATTTAATTTAATTTTTTTTTTTGGAATTTTATAATAAGAGGAGAATCTTGGGGCGAGCTGCAGAAGATCTACAAGGGCCACATAAAATTAAATAAAAAAGGGGCAAATCTTTGGAAAGAGTCAAAGAAGAGTGGGACAAAAGGATTTGCCTTCACCCTCTTGCTTTTGCAGGATCCCACTAGTTTTGGAAAGCTATTAATAACCCATAAATAAATACACCCCTCGTTATTTTTTATTTTTTATTTTTGTAATTTTACGATGTATCTAATTTCGTTTCTGTATATTTTTTTCACCCTTTTGCCTTTGTGGGAAATTCAATTGTTTGCTAAAAAAATCAGTTCAACTTTTAGAAAGAAAATAAAAACGAAGTTTGAATTCTTAAATAAATTGGGGAAAAATACAGCCGTATTCAAAAAAAAAAAACGTTGGAATATTTGATTCGATTTTTGGGCTAGTGGAGAGTGGCGTAAGTATATAATCAGCAAAAGTGTTTAGTGTTGACCCAACAAAAAAAAAATTAAAGCCTTTGAGAGAGAGAGAGAGACCACCACTCACCGGAAAACCACCTAACTCAGACCCCGTTTTCTAAATCATAAGGTCGTTGATTTCTCGCATATTCACAAAACAGCCCCGGGAATCCTGGGAAAATCCAGAAGAACAGAGGAGAAATTTGGGGGATAAGCAATGGATTTCTGGTCTCCGTCTGTCTCTTCAGATAATGAGTTGGAGAAGTTTGTCATCAGAATGAACCCTCCCAAGTATCTCGATTTCTCTTCCCCCTTTTTTTTCCTGAATTATTCACCCGAAAGTTTGGAGATTTATGGATTTCGTCAGATGGGTTTCTCTTGGATTCCGTTGTTCATGTTGAATTTTCTCGGTTTCTCTCGGTTCCAATTTCAGGGTAACGATTGATAACACATCGAGCAGGAAAGCAACCCTAGTGAAGGTAATTACGATTGGAGATTTCGACGATCATCGTATGAGAAAGAAAAAGAAAACCCTTATTTTCGATTGTTTGTAATTTCGATTTGGTGATGTTGACAAGTTTGAAACCTTTTACGGACTGGGAACAGGTTGATAGTGCAAATAAGAGAGGAAGCTTGTTGGAAGTAGTTCAGGTTTTGACAGATTTGGATCTTTTAATTCGTCGAGCTTACGTTTCCTCTGACGGCGAATGGTTCATGGACGGTACGTTACCGATCCAAATCGATGGGATTTGCATGCACACAAGTTTGTTGTTGTTGAAACTCCATCTGGTTTCGATTTATCTATCGAGCTTGTTGTTGTTGCAGTGTTTCATGTGACTGATAAGAATGGAAATAGGGTGATGGAGGAGGACATAGCAGAAACAATTCAGCAGGTAAATCAAGGGCTTAACGTTTTCCTGCTTCTTGGATCCATCTCTTTGAGTCTGGATTTCGATGTTGGTTCTGTTCTTCAGTGAGAGTTTATGTATTTTCTTTTTCGTGTTTCAGTCTCTCGGGCCACGGACTTGTAGCTTCAGGGCTCGGAATAGATCGGTTGGGGTTCAAGCCATTTCAGAGAACACTTCAATCGAATTGACGGGAAGAGACAGACCAGGCTTGTTATCGGATGTTTTTGCTGTCTTGACCGATAACAACTGCAATGTCGTGGCAGCGGAAGTATGGACTCACAACTCAAGAATGGCATCGGTTGTTTACATCACAGACGAGACCACAGGGTCTGTAATTGACGATCCTGATCGGATTGCTAAGATCAAGCAGCTCTTGCTCTACGTTCTTGAAGGAAACCGAGACAAGAGGATAGCAAATACTGCTGTCTTGATGGGTTCGACCCACAAGGAAAGGAGACTCCATCAGATGATGTACGATAACCGTGACTACGATATGACTAACCTGGATGTCGGGTCGACGAGTGAAAGGAGGAAACCCGTTATAACAGTGGAGAATTGCACCGACAAGGCTTACACAGTCGTTAACCTGAGGTGTATTGATCGGCCTAAACTCTTCTTTGACGCAGTCTGTACATTGACAGATATGCAATATGTGGTGTATCACGCCACTGTCATAGCTGAGGGTCCAGAGGCCTATCAGGTTCTTTTCCCGATCTTACGTCCCTCGCCCATATTACCCGTCAGATTCGGATTTCTTCAAAGGGGTATAACAGGAAAAAAGTTCTTAACGATTTCGGTTGTATAAACAGGAGTACTACATCAGGCATGTCGATGGTGGTCCTGTAAGTTCGGAAGCCGAGAGACAGAGGCTGATACATTGCTTGGAAGCAGCCATAAAGAGACGAACTTCAGAGGTATGATGGAAAAGAATCTCCTCATTTTTCTAAACTTGGATCCATACCCAAACATTGGGTACTCGGTTTTTCATATATTTTTTGTTATAATTCTTTTTTCAACATATTTTTTTTGTTCGAGTACTTGAGTATCCAAACATTTTGTCGGGTACCCGTAATTCGGATAAGACCATCATATTACCAATATGGGTATCAAATTATGATATTCGAAGGATTTGGATACGGATTTTGGTATCCCAATTTTTTCGGGTATCCAACCCGTACCCATACCTACCGAGATGGATATATGACATAACTAGAGAGAGGTATTTGGTGGTTTTCAGGGCATAAGACTAGAGCTATGCGGGGAAGACAGAGTGGGACTTCTTTCAGACGTGACTCGTATATTCAGAGAGAACGGTCTGTCAGTGACGAGAGCCGAGGTGACAACGAGGGGTTCTCAAGCCGTGAACGCTTTCTACGTCACAGATTCATCTGGGAAGCCGGTTAAGAGCCAAACAATAGAGACAGTGCGAAATCAGATCGGAAGGACCGTTCTTCGGGTGAAAGACGAAGGCTTTTCGGGTTCCCCGGGAACACAACAGGAGACAGGGAAGTTCTCGTTGAGCAATCTCTTCAAGTCAAGGTCTGAGAAGTTTCTTTATAACCTGGGTTTGTCAAAGTCATTTTCTTGAGGGTTTCTCTTTAGGGTTTCCATTCTAAGATCTAAGATCTCTTCCCAAGGCTTTGGATTTGGTTGTGTTTGTAAAGTAATTGGGGTTTGTGGTTGATTGGAGTTGGTCATGGGGTTATTATTGCTGGGTACTTTGTGGTTTGGGGTCTAGGGTTCTAGATGTAAATATATTCATGTGAATATGATTTTATTAATATTAAATATTATTCATCCCATCCTCCTGCTAACTCTTTTGTGAAACTTTAAGAAAAGATCACATTGAATTATTAAGGATAAAAATTTTAAAAATAAAAAGAAAAATAAAGAAGTGAGCGTATGTTAACAATAACAGGTAGGGATTGTGAAAATGCTTCTTCGGCCGGTGGTGAGATCATTCTTGCGTTGCTCCTTGGGCGATGGTAAACAAGCTTCTTTTTGGTTTGATGATTGGACAAATTTAGGTCCTTTGATTGAGTATGTAGGTGATAATGGTCCGCGCTTGGTGAGGATTCCACGGCAAGCCAAGGTAGCTGATGCAGTCTCGTCCGCGGGGTGGTCGCTACCAGCAGCAAGATCCCAACGAGTGCTGGATCTCCACATCAAGCTATCTACAATGCGATTGCCAAGCACCGCCCACGGCCCTGATAGATTCGAATGGAAGCAGAGAACCAATGTGTTTGCCGGTGTTTTCTCCTCTGCAAGTACCTGGAAACTTCTCCGTCAGCCATCGCCGGAAGTACCC